TAATACTTAGTAGATCGGGTGGGGGGGGGGTGGCTGCGTGGTCTCGATGCATGGCGTCCGCCTCGAGTGCTGGAGGTCCCAGATTCAAGCCCCGGTGAAGGCTGGGATTTTTTCTAGTAATTCCCCCTGGTCTATGGGTAGTGAGATCGGACGCCCGTGTGTAATGTTGCGGACGTAAAAAAAAAAATATCCCTTGGCAGCTGGAAATCGAAAAGAGTATCCTAACGGCGCTACCCGGAAAAAAATTTGGAATTTAAAATCTACCCAAAGTATTTCAGGATCCTGTTATCTATATATGTTTTGTTTCTTAGGTTTAAAGACTGTATGGTTAGTCTGGTGGGCATAGTTTCAGCTTCATAGCAAACGGGTCACCCCATCTTTGCTCCGCTCCTGTGCTAACAAAAAACACACAGAATGTTTATCACAGTCCCTTGTGGAAAGATTGACAGACTGCTGTCTCAGCATATCTAGCATACACTCGCATTAAAGCATACGGTAGCCATCTGAAGTGCTAACACAAACAGTCCGACATTAGAAATGCAGTTCATCATTGATGGTAGCAGAAGTCACTAACAGATCTGCAGTTGCCCACGCGATCAATTTTAATCACAAACGGGCACCACCAAAATTGCGACGACAGCCATCGCGCCATTTTCTGAATCTACAATTTACACTACCACGTTGGTCACGGTCGAAAAAACATTCCAAATGAAATCCGCAGCTCACAGTGTCACGCCATGCATTCAACTCAGAAGCTGGGCGACGAAACTATATCCAGTCAACAAATGGAACAAAAATGCATCGGCCACCGTCAGGCTGTGAGGTGGGCCACGAAAGAATTTACCCTGTTGTGATGGGCCAGGGGTGTAAGAAGGTTGAGAAACACTGTTGTAAACATCAAGTGAGCAATAAACACAATGTTGTTAAACTGAGAGTTCCGAAACGAGAAGCGAAGCGCTGTGCCGCTGTATTAGGATCAGGTCGCAGTAATATTGAGTTGTGATTGCTGATATGGTCAGGGCGTTTTTATGAGGGGTGTGGCCAGGGGAAAGCTGCCATTACTCATCATTAAGTGTTTTTAAAAGGTGCCGGTACGCAGCACAAACTGTTTATTCCATTAGTGCTAAAGAAAATGATGCTAAAAACTGGTGCTAGTACTGCGTGCCGCCAGAAAAAATTGCCTTGCATACAATCTTCGATTAGCGGCTGGCCGAACAGTTAGAGCGCTTGAGCTCTCAAGCAGGAGACCTGGGTTCGAACCTCGGTAAGGCTGGGGATTTTTTGCTGTCGGGGGCACAATAAAATCCTTACCTGCACAGTCGTGGCGACAGCACTAGCCATGCGGCCGTAAATCCTCAGACTTTTAGACACCCTTGCCTACACCACAAAAGTAGTATAAATAAAGGCAGTAATTAGCAGTTTTATTCAATCATCGTGTGCCTTGACAGGTTTGAAAATAGAGCAAGAGGAAGATCCCTCAAATATGAGGGGAAAAAACATCATCAAGAACAGTCCCAAATAAATGAAGGTCAACTTATACTCGTGCAATGCATTACACAGAGCAAACAGATGATCCTGACATCCACCCCCCCCCTCCCTCTTTTTCTCAACACTTTAAAGAGGTAGCTGTAGGCTTGACAGATGTTTATGTCTTCTTGCCTGCACACAATTCTAAGCACATAATGATATGGAACAAAAACTGTTAAAATGGGTGCAGACTGACTTTACTCAGTCAGAATAATCCCAAGAGAGTAGCACACAGCAAGAAACCCCAAAGCTCCAGCAGCTATTCCTTGGCTCGCCACTGTATCTGGACTGGTGGACAGAAGGTTTAGCAATCACTTTTCTAGTCCCATTACCTCTCTCTGCTCTATAACTTCTTCTCTTCTCCACTTACTCTTCTACCACTTCACACATTGAGGGAGATAAAAGATTCTGCTTCTTGCTCTTCTGACCGCCTCGACCATAGATACATTGTGCTATGTCTCTGATGTTATCTGTCCATATTGTTCTTGGTCTACTTCATGCTCTTCGTCTGTCACCCTTTTTGGTGTATGCTTTGTATGTTATGGCATCACAAGGCATTCTTTCCAAGCAGCAAAACCATTTGATTTGTTGTCTTTGTACGTAATTTAGAATTGCTTATGGGCCACCTTTTTTTTTTTTTTTACTCTGTCAGTTCAAATCTCTAAAATATACAGTTTCTAAACTGCAGACTTGGTTCTAAATTCCACTTTTTAAGTCGAGAGGTTCTAAAGTATCTAGTTAGTTCTCAACTTCAGTTACTTGTGAATTTTTGTATGTGTACAAGCTGGCTGGTTTGTTATCAATCCTCTGAAATAGAAACAACAATGACTGCAAAACTCAATTTGTCTCTGTCAGAACTAATTGTCTTCTTTTTATTCTGTCTTCCACCCTAAAATGGCAGTTTGCTCAACAGTTCTGTGGTTTACAGCTCAGCTGTCGTATCTGTGCCTTTGACACAACACATCTGATTTCAGTGCTTTATTAATATCCTACCCCAAACAGAGAAAATCCACAGGTCACGGGACAGTCAAATATTTCCGGGGGTGGTAGATAGGCTGCATGCAGTCGTGGGACCAAGGCTGCACTCTCTAGTGGGACGTAGGTGGGTTAGGGTTAGGGCCAGTTCTAGATGTTTTGGGGTTGCTAAAGCATCAGAAAGCCAGGAAACCACCTTCTAAAATGTTGGACTGTCCTGTGATGTCATCTGGAGGTAGGATATTAATAAAGCACCCGGACTTCAAGAAAACTGGAATTAGTCCTCTTGTATGACATGCTTTTTCAAGGTCAGCGGGTCTGTTTTTCTTTTTCTCCAAAATGAGCACCCGGAAACAAATCGAGGAGTTGGTTGTCAATTGTCTGGACTTTGGACAAAGAAGACACAAAAACAGATTGCACAATTTATTACCGGACATATTTGGTTGCATCAATTGTGTAATACAGACACTGACAACATGAAATAAACAAACATGAATCCTGTCAACTGAAATACAAACATAAATACCTGCACTTTCAGGCATGTTAACAATCATGTTTTGTCTACACCAGAGCTTTCTAAACTATTTGTCGGTGACAAAAAGAATTTCATGACCCAGTAATTCGGTCTACTAGCAAACCAGTCAAATCAGAAGGAGGCAGTCCAAATTCTTTGGTCATCTCATGAGAAGGATTGCCTACCAAAAAAAAAAAACATACAACCAAAACAGCCAAAAAAATGCTCTACTTTCAATATCTGTTGCTGTATATGTAAAAGTGAGACTCCGGTTGAGACATGTTATCTTGTGGGTTCAACATCAGTGAAACAATCAATCATTTTTCTGTAACATATGTCAATATGTAGACTTCCTGTCATACATAATTCCAGGTGTCAAAGATTTATAATTATTTTATTATACAACATAGCATATGACAAATACATATAATTATCTGTTATCACACAATGTACCATGTCATAAAGATTTATAATTATATTATTAGTTAAGGATTTAGGTTTGCCTCATCTGTTGGCATATATCTGACAACAGATAATAATTCATGCTTGATGTGATACTTAGTAAACACGTTACCACAGTTATAGATTTATGCTCGATATCTGTTACCACAGACATCATAACACAGACAAATATTAAAGCTTATCATCTGTTATCATATACCTCACATCAGATTTCAAATTTATGATGATTAGTTGCCATTTATGCGATAATAAATAAGGATTTATGCTTGTTATATACCTCCTAACCGGTAAGTATTTATGCTTGTTAAATACCTCACAATAGGTTAGGATTTATGCATGTCATTTGTTGCTACTCGTGTCATCACAGATAAGATCTATGATTGTCAACAGTTGTAATAGACCTCGCTACAGATACAGATTTATGCCTGACACCTTTTGCTACACACTGTACCAAGGATAAGGATTTATGCCTGATACCTTTTGCTACACACTGTACCAAGGATAAGGATTTATGCCTAACACCTTTTGCTACACACTGTACCAAGGATAAGGATTTATGCCTAACACCTTTTGCTACACACTGTACCAAGGATAAGGATTTATGCCTAACACCTTTTGCTACACACTGTACCAAGGATAAGGATTTATGCCTAACACCTTTTGCTACACACTGTACCAAGGATAAGGATTTATGCCTAACACCTTTTGCTACACACTGTACCAAGGATAAGGATTTATGCCTAACACCTTTTGCTACACACTGTACCAAGGATAAGGATTTATGCCTGGCACCTGATGTCATACATTTCACCATGGATACAGAATTATGGTTATTATTTGTTGGCATCATCTTCCTACAGATAAATATTTATGTCTGCCATCTGTTCTTCAGGCATAACCACAGACAAGAATGTATGCCTATGATCTACTGTCATGCCCATTACCACAGATAAGGATTTATTCTTTTCGGTTGTCATATACTTCATAACAGATAGAGATTACGCTTGTCATTTATTGTCATATACCTTACAAAAGATAAGGATTTAGGCTTGTGATCTGTTGTATAGCCACTACCACAGATAGGGATTTATTCTTTTTAGTTGTTATATACTTCATAACAGATAAGGATTTATTCTTGTCAGTTGTTATATACTTCATAACAGATCAGGATTTATTCTTGTCAGTTGTTATATACTTCATAACAGATCAGGATTTATTCTTTTTAGTTGTTATATACTTCATAACAGATAAGGATTTATTCTTGTCAGTTGTTATATACTTCATAACAGATCAGGATTTATTCTTGTCAGTTGTTATATACTTCATAACAGATCAGGATTTATTCTTGTCAGTTGTTATATACTTCATAACAGATAAGGATTTATGCCTGTGAACTGTTGTCATAGCCATTACCACAGAAAAGGATTTATTCTTGTCAGTTGTTATATACCTCACAACAGATAAGCATTTACGCTTGACATCCAATGCCATACAATTAACCATGCATAAGAATTCATGCTGTTTACCTACTGCCATAGACAAAACTATAAAACATAGAACTGGGGTCATTCAGTAAGTCATGAGGGGAGGCAAACTCTGCCACCATCCCGTCCTTCATAACTAGGACACGCTGACTGTCCAACACTGTATTGATACGGTGAGCGATCGTAAGAACGGTGCTGTCCTTGAACTCTTGTCGAATTGTCTTCTGGATTAGGGCATCCGTTTCTAAATCGACGCTTGCAGTTGCTTCATCGATGCAAATAATCTGGCCAAATGAAAGAGAAACAGGAAGTGATGTCATTAAAATTGTAAATATTTTATTTTTCTCTTTCTGTAGTCGCTCTTAAAAGCATGGCTGGCATGTAGTGCTGTGGTTTACAGCTAAGCTGTGATATCTGTGCCTTTCAGACCTAAAACACCAAATTTCAGCAAACCTTTCACTGTTTAACTCCCAGAATGCAATGGCTGAAGCCTGACTGGAGCAGTAATGATGACAACAGAAGCATGGGTATACTGCATCCACAGGATCTAAATGTGCAGCATGCAGTGGCCGACTTGTGCTGCTGGATTGCTTTGGTGTGCCTGGCTAATCTTTATCATTGTCATCATCATCATCAGCCCTGCCGATTGGCGTACGTGTTCATGCATCTCCACAGATCTCGGTCCCTTGTCCTCTGGCTCAGTTCCACCGATCATATCCCTCCGTGCCACCGACACAATCCATCCATCATCATCTCTGTCGGTCTGCCTCTCCCTCTTCTATCGTTGATCTTACCAGTCATCACAATATTCTACAAAGCCTCCCCCCTCATCACATGACCAAAGAACAAGGCTTGTATTTTCCTTATAGCTGTATATATTGATCTGCTTTCATTAGCTTCCTTCAAGCAATCCTCCTTAGTTAACTCTAGCAGTCCAAGGGATTCTCAACATTCATATGAGAAACCACATCACCATCTCTTCCAAGTTCTCTCTAATCTGTGACTAAACTTTAGATGTACAAATTTACAAAACATGCTGACTGGTACCTATAAGTAATATCCAGTATACACAGTGTGCTGTCTGGTCCTGAAAAAGTTAATTCTTCTTCTTCTTTTGTCATCTCACTGACACCAGGTTGTAGCGTCCACATCTGTTTTACAGATCTGGCTTATCTGTAAGCAGACTGTTGGTTCCTAACTACTCAGGCAAATGCACTCTGAAGGAAACACCTCTAATTAGCCATCTTGAACAACATGCTTGTTAGTGAGCCAGTGAATCTAATCTTGCCTTAGATCACCCACCTCAGGGAAAACAATCTAGTCATGGTAGTTCCCTAGGAGATACTGCCACTGGCAGGAAGCCAAGGTGGTGTAGAGGCTAGATCCTCATTTACTGGCCCAAAGGTCTTGAGTCGAAATTTGTTTTTAACACTGACTTTGGCTCTAAGGTTTATCCAACCTAAAAATGTCCTGGGAAGTAAAAGTGACCGTGGATGTGCTGACCATCAGGAGTGCTGATTGGTCTATAAAAAATACAAATGTTGCATCATATGCCCAAAGCGTCAGTGGCATAAAAACGGACATTTACTTTTATTTTTTAATTTATTTTTTTTTAAACTGCTGTTGGGACGTAAAGGGTTAAGGTTTCACATATACTAGGTTGCTACATATGAGATAGGATGGCCAGTTCTGTCCCTCGTCACCCTTCCTTCACAGAAAAAGTTCAAGACAATTCTAGAAACTGTGTGATTGCTTTTTTTATTAGACTGGGTCAATACAAGAGCCCTACGGACTGAGGTTGAAATCCTCCTACTTCTGGGGACTTAGTTTTGGCCACACAGGGAAGGCTAAACCTGGGCAACAAGTGTCTGCGAATGTCGGATGTGTCTGCAGAAAGGTGCAAATATTGCATAAATGGACACAACACATTCATGGTCTCAGATGAACAAAGAAGAAAAAGAATCTTGTCCACTCTTTCAGCAGACAAAAGAGATTGGATACTTCTGCTTCTGTGTGCACTCTCAAAAGGGCTGTTCTGCACACTATGTTGTGGTTTACAGCTAGGCTGCCATATCTACACCCTGTTTTAAATGGTTAGTGAGTCTGTTAACTGTTTCAGTCCCAGGCGGTTTAGCACCAGAGGTCCTTAGGTAGTAAACAGAGACATAAAATAGGCGCATTTTGCGTTCACTGGGCTGATATGTAAGAACCTGTGAATGTAAGATGCATTCCTTGGGACTGAAAAAGTTACCAAAATTAAAAGTCAAGAGGATCAATTTCTCTGTAACGGAATATCCCCTATTGCTCGGTCTCTCTTCTTGAATGGTAGCTGCCTGCCTGCCTGCTGAGAGTGTCACACAAAGCACAACCTCCACAGCTCCAGTGAAAATCCCCAGGGATCGCTATAAATACTTGTAAACTGAACAACATATCCATGAAACAAACTCCCCTGACCTTCAGAGTGTGTTGGTACTTCTGATGGCTGCCTTGTGCATTTAATGTATGTGTGCATACTGTTGACTTGCCGAGACTGCAGACTTTCAGGTTGTTCACGTGCGGATTTCACTAGTACAGGAATGGAACAACTATGGGATGACCAGTTTACTGTGAAGCTGGAACTTAGATAAACTGATTTAACTAATTAACTTTCTTCGTCATAGGAGTCGACTAACTAGGGACTTTCTTTGAAGTCGGAGTGCATCAGCCTGAGCGGCAAGGAACAACCGGCTGTGGGTTCCGGGGCCCCATTGTGGAGAAAACAAGAATAGATCCCCTGCCTTCCCAGCAAGCATGTCGTAGAAGTCGACTAACTGGAGACATTCTTTGAAGTTGGAGTGCATCTTCCTGAGTGGCAAGGAACAACCAACTGCACACAAATAAGCCAGTAAAATGGATGCGCACACAAAACTCAGGCACAAAGCAAAAGCCCAAATGGATGAACAACCAGGACTTTTCGCTGGAGCTTAATGCCGGTGAACAAAGAAGAGGAAGAAGAAGAAGAACTAATTAACTGATTCAGAATGAGAGGCTAATGACATAAACACTTTGTAATGGAGACCCCCATAGGGTAGTGGATCTATCTCCCACCCCCTCCCCTCAAATACGGGATCCCCAAACCCATGTTTTAGACAATTAGACATAACTAGTCAATACTTTTAGATATATTTTGAGAAGGGATGGACTCGATAACTGGCAAGATTGATGGAAAGAGAGCAAGAGGAAGACAAAGAGAGAAATACCTGGATGGAAAGGCCAGGTGGATTGGGCAAGACAAAAATACTGAACTGATCCTCAATTCTGGTGATCGTGTGAGATAGTGAAACATGACAGCCTACACTTACCGGCATGGCACACAATGATGATGATGATAAACCCATCCAGAGAAACTCGATACAGCAAACACAATGATGATGATAAACCCATCCAGAGAAACTGGATACAGCAAACACAATGATGATGATAAACCCATCCAGAGAAACTCGATACAGCAAACACCATGCCTACCTTTGCATTAGTCAGCATTGCTCTGGCCAGACACAGCAGTTGCCTCTGGCCGACAGAGAACTCCTTCCCCCTCTGGGTCAACAGGGCCTCCAGACCTCCCATTCTTTCTATGGAAGACCGCAGGTGACAGCGATCCAGTGCTGACCACAGTTCTGAATCTGTGTGGCCACCTGTGGGGTCAAGATTCATTCGAACTGACCCGCTGAATAAAAAGGGGTCTTGCGGGATTGCAACAAATCGTGATCTAAAACAGAAGAGGGGGAACAAAAAAAATCACATTCTAAAATGTTTCTTCTCCTTTCTTCATCACGTTCACAGGCTGTAAACTCAATTTCTGGAGTTTGGTTCCAGAAATCAATTTTTGCATGCATATCCATTTTACACATCTGGCTTACTACTGAGCAGACTGTTGGTTCCTCGCCTCTTAAGAAGATATACTCTGACTTCAAAGAAAACGTCGATTCTATCCTCACTGGCCAGGCGCTCCAGTAGGGAACCTGTTTCCAGGATGACCGTAGACAGGTGGAGATTGGTTTTGACCAGTCTGATTTATGATCCTGGTGACCAACCCCATGTGGTTCAGCATCTCTATATCCTTTAACTCTTTCAGTCCCAAGGAATGCATCCAACTTTCATAAGTTCCTGCACAGAAGCCCATTGAGTGCAAGATTTTACGTCTCTACTACCCTTTGGGTCTCAGGTGTTAAACCCCCAGGAGTGAAAGTGTAAAATAATAATTATCGTCATCATCACCATCATCAGCCTCATCATCTTTTTTTTCTTCTTTTCGTATTCTTCTTTTTCTTCTGCCTTTCTATCCCCCAATGGAGCATAGGCCCTCAACCAACTCACGCCAAGTCGTTCTATCCTTCGCCATTGCATGGAGCTCTCGCCATGTCCTCCCCATCTTTCTAACTTCATTCTCCAGCTCTCTTCTCCATGTGTTTTTTGGCCTTCCTTTATTCCTATACCTCTGTGGGTTCCAATACAGAGACATTCTAGTTATGCTGCTCTCCTGTTTTCTCAGTGTGTGTCGATTCCTCTGATAGGGACGTTACCAGTGCCAAACATGGACGCTTACTTCAACTAATGAGCGAAAGATCGTAACAACAGAGATGAGATGTCTTAGGAGAGCTGCCGTTGTGACAAGAAGAGATAATATCAGGAATGAAGAAATTATAAGAAGACTAAGACTGAAACCAGTTATACAATTCCTTAAAGAACAACAAATGAGATGGTTTGGCCACTTGACGAGAATGCCCTAGTACTAAGTGCTAAGCCACACTGAAGAAATATAATGAACACGGAGCGAATATCCACATTCAGACGTATCAACATTGGAATATGAGTCCATAACTCATATGCACATTAGAATGTGACAGTCCATAACTCACATCCCCTATTATAATGTGACAGTCTATAACTCACATCCATACCAGAATGTGACAGTCCATAACTTACATACATACCAGAATGTGACAGTCCATAACTCACATCCCCTATTATAATGTGACAGTCCATAACTCACATAACCCATTAGAATGTGACAGTCCATAACTCACATCCATACCAGAATGTGACAGTCCATAACTCAGATCCACATTAGAATGTGACAGTCTATAACTCACATCCATACCAGAATGTGACAGTCCATACCTCACATCCACATTAAAATGTGACAGTCTTAACTCACATCCATACCAGAATGTGACAGTCCATACCTCACATCCACATTAGAATGTGACAGTCTATAACTCACATCCAAACCAGAATGTGACAGTCCATAACTCACATTTATCCTATTAGAATGTGACAATCCATAACTCACATTCATACCAGAATGTGACAGTCCATAACTCACATCCCCCATTAGATTGTGATAGTCCATAACTCACATCCACGTTAGAATGTGATAGTCCATAACTCACATCCACATTAGATTGTGACAGTCCATAACTCACATCCACATTTGAATGTGGTAGTCCATAACTCACATCCACATTAGAATATGATAGTCCATAACTCATATCCACATTAGAATGTGACAGTCAATAACTCACATGCATATAAAAATTTGACAGTCCATAACTCACACCCCCATTAGATTGTGATAGTCCATAACTAACATCCACGTTAGAATGTGATAGTCCATAACTCACATCCACATTAGATTGTGACAGTCCATAACTCACATCCACATTTCAATGTGGTAGTCCATAATTCACATCCACATTAGAATATGATAGTCCATAACTCATATCCACATTAGAATGTGACAGTCCATAACTCACATGCATATAAAAATTTGACAGTCCATAACTCACATCCATACCAGAATGTAAAAGTCCATAACTCACATCCATTCTAGAATGTGACAGTCCATAACTCACATCCATTTTAGAATGTGACAGTCCATAACTCACATCCATACTAGAATAGAGTTAAAAGAAACAATGTTATTCACTTCCCCTTACCTGATGTCAGAAAGATCCAGAAGTCTAATGTTGACATCATCCACAATAATCCGGCCACTGGATACCTCCACCATTCTGAAGAGTGCCAAAAACAGACTAGATTTGCCTGCCCCTGTTCGTCCCACAATGCCAATCTTTTCACCAGGTTGTGTTTTGAAGCTGACATCATTTAGTGCTGGAGATTGCACGTCACGGTAATGGAGAGAGACACCATCAAATTCAACCACTCCTTCCGCAGGCCATGCTACTGGAGCCTGTGAGAATGGATATGAATAATTATCCAAATGGTGCTCAAAAGATGTGTGCTATCTTTGTCTTTAGCAATATTTTGCTATCCTAGATGTAGAGAATAATAGGACCTTGGACTTCTACCCCAGGATGTAGAAGGAAATAAGACCTTGTAGTCTTGTACTTCTACCCCAGGATGTAGAGGGAAATAAGACCTTGTAGTCTTGTACTTCTACCCTAGGATGTAAAGGGAAATAAGACCTTGTAGTCTTGTACTTCTACCCTAGGATGTAGAAGGAAATAAGACCTTGTAGTCTTGTACTTCTACCCTAGGATGTAGAAGGAAATAAGACCTTGTAGTCTTGTACTTCTACCCTAGGATGTAGAGAGAAATAAGACCTTGTAGTCTTGTACTTCTACCCTAGGATGTAGAGGGAAATAAGACCTTGTAGTCTTGTACTTCTACCCCAGGATGTAGAGGAAAGAAGACCTTGTAGTCTTGTACTTCTACCCCAGGATGTAGAGGGAAATAAGACCTTGTAGTCTTGTACTTCTACCCTAGGATGTAGAGGGAAATAAGACCTTGTAGTCTTGTACTTCTACCCCAGGATGTAGAGGAAATAAAACTTTTTAGTCTTGTACTTCTACCCCAGGATGTAGAGGGAAATAAGACCTTGTAGTCTTGTACTTCTACCCTAGGATGTAGAGGGAAATAAGACCTTGTAGTCTTGTACTTCTACCCTAGGATGTAGAGGGAAATAAGACCTTGTAGTCTTGTACTTCTACCCCCAGGATGTAGAGGAAATAAAACTTTTTAGTCTTGTACTTCTACCCCAGGATGTAGAGGAAATAAGACCTTGTAGTCTTGTACTTCTACCCTAGGATGTAGAGGGAAATAAGACCTTGTAGTCTTGTACTTCTACCCTAGGATGTAGAGGGAAATAAGACCTTGTAGTCTTAAACTTCTACCCTAGGATGTAGCGGAAAATAAGACCTTGTGGTCTCGTACTTCTACCCTAAAATGTGCTGAGTCGTTACAATCGGTAGAATGTATATACAGCTGATTAACAAAGCATCAGTAGCATGGTAGTAGTAGTGGTAGTTTTGGTAGCAGCAGTGGTGGTTGGTGGTAGTAGTAGTAGCAGTAGTGGTGATAGTAGTCATATAGATGGTAGGGCTGCTGTACTGGAGGACTAAGAGACTAAGACAACATTTGACAGTGCCCCAACTGACAGAGGAATGGAATGGAACAAAGCCAGAAAGAAAAATGCTGATACAGAAGTCTGGCGATCTCTCTGCCAAACCTCTACAACCCATGGTAAAAGTGGAGCGACTAAGTAAAAAACATAACTTACAAACAGAGCCCCATCCCATTTCTCCGAGGGCGTATGGTCGATGTAGAACTGGCATCTCTCCATGCTGACAAATTCCTTCTCAGTCTCCGTGAAGAACATGACCACACCTCCCAGGAGGCTTGTCACTGACAGCGAGTACGAGATGGCGAGGCCCACTAACCCTGGTCAAATACACAACACAATCACATTACTGTTGTATGTAATCACATCACTGTTGTATGTAATCACATCCCTGTTGTATGTAATCACATCACTGTTGTATGTAATCACATCACTGTTGTATGTAATCACATCACAGTTGTATGTTATCACATCACTGTTGTATGTAATCACATCACAGTTGTATGTAATCACATCACTGTTGTATGTAATCACATCACTGTTGTATGTAATCACATCACTGTTGTATGTAATCACATCACTGTTGTATGTAATCACATCACTGTTGTATGTAATCACATCACTGTTGTATGTAATCACATCACTGTTGTATGTAATCACATCACAGTTGTATGTTATCACATCACTGTTGTATGTAATCACATCACAGTTGTATGTATCACATCACTGTTGTATGTAATCACATCACTGTTGTTGTATGTAATCACATCACTGTTGTATGTAATCACATCACTGTTGTATGTAATCACATCACTGTTGTATGTAATCACATCACTGTTGTATGTAATCACATCACTGTTGTATGTAATCACATCACTGTTGTATGTAATCACATCACTGTTGTATGTAATCACATCACTGTTGTATGTAATCACATCACTGTTGTATGTAATCGCATCACTGTTGTATGTAATCGCATCACTGTTGTATGTAATCACATCACTGTTGTATGTAATCACATCACTGTTGTATGTAATCACATCACTGTTGTATGTAATCACATCACTGTTGTATGTAATCACATCACTGTTGTATGTAATCACATCACTGTTGTATGTAATCACATCACTGTTGTATGTAATTGCATCACTGTTGTATGTAATTGCATCACTGTTGTATGTAATCGCATCACTGTTGTGTGTAATCACATCACTGTTGTGTGTAATCACATCACTGTTGTGTGTAATCACATCACTGTTGTGTGTAATCGCATCACTGTTGTGTGTAATCGCATCACTGTTGTATGTAATCGCATCACTGTTGTATGTAATCACATCACTGTTGTATGTAATCACATCACTGTTGTATGTAATCACATCACTGTTGTATGTAATCACATCACTGTTGTATGTAATCACATCACTGTTGTATGTAATCACATCACTGTTGTATGTAATTGCATCACTGTTGTATGTAATCACATCACTGTTGTATGTAATCACATCACTGTTGTATGTAATCACATCACTGTTGTATGTAATCACATCACTGTTGTATGTAATCACATCACTGTTGTATGTAATCACATCACTGTTGTATGTAATCACATCACTGTTGCATGTAACTGATCTCATGCAATTCAACTATAATCCATACCTCAGGTATTTTACTTAAAATTTACAAAGGTTGTGGGCCTAAGCTTCACTGGAAGATTCATCATCTTCTTCTTTTTTGTCTGTCCTCACAATGTTTTGTGGTATACAGCTAGACTGCACTATCTACACTTTTCAGCACAACACATCCAATTTCAATAAACTTCAAATTAGTTGCCTTTCGGGAGACAGTGGGTCTATTCAATTCTCCCCCCTCCAAAGTAGGGCCCCGGAACTTACATGGGAGTTGAGATATATAAAGAAGTCAGAAAAATAGAAGGTAAATAAAACAACAGATAATTCAATACCCCTCTCTCAGCAGGAAGAACAGATCGAGATATAGAAAGAAGGTGCCAAAGAGCCAGTGCACTTATATACCAATTGAGAACATTATTAGGACAACCAATTTAAGTATGAGTGCCAAGAAACAGATTATACACAGCAAATTCATACCAACACTGTGCTACCAGTGCCAGACTTGGAAATTATCAAAGGTTAAACTACGTAAAATTAATACCTGTGAAATGAGAAGCCTGAGAAAAGCTACCAACTTAACCATCCGAGACAAAGTTAGATATGATATTATCAGACACACTGTAGGAACAACATCCTGCAGTAAATACATTGAGAAACAGAAGATCAAATGGTTTGATCATCTAGTAAGAATGCAGTCAGAACAACAACCAACACAGGCGCTACACATGAACAGATCTGAAGTAAAAGCAAGAGGCCGCCCTAGTAGAACATGGATTGATGACATAAAAGAGCTACTACATTGACACGGAATGAAAAAAGCCAATGCTGCCCATCAAGCAATGCATCGTAAACTGTTCCTTCCCACAACGCTTAACAGCAGAAGTGGAAACGTATGATGACTCACAGCGATCCACTGCGTCTACCTTGACAACCCAAGTCTACCTTGACAACCCAAGTCTACCCTGACAACCCAAGTCTACCCTGACAACCCAAGTCTACCTTGACAACCCAAGTCTACCTTGACAACCCAAGTCTACCTTGACAACCCAAGTCTACCTTGACAACCCAAGTCTACCTTGACAACCCAAGTCTACCTTGACAACCCAAGTCTACCTTGACAACCCAAGTCTACCTTGACAACCCAACCCCAGGCTTACCTGCGCTGACAGAGCTGACGTGGTGCTGCACCACAGCAATGAGTGACAAGCTGGTCACCATGGCAACACCCAGCATCCTCAACCGGAAGTCAATCCAGCGGGCAGACAACTGAGTGGCATACTGGCATCTCTGGTTAATGTCCAGGCGTTGCATGTTCTCCTCACAAAACCTGGGTAAAACACAAGCTGTTCATAATTATAGAAAACAAAAACTGTTGTTCGAAGTTGGAGTGCATCCGCCTGAGAGGCAAGGAACCAACAGTCTGCATTCAAATAGGCCAGATTTATAAAACAGATGTATACATAACACTCAAGTTCTGGAACAAGGCTAAAGTCCAGTAGGAGACAACCGGAACTTTCTATTGGAGTTTACAACCAGTGAATGCTAAGATAAAGATGTGTGTCAGTTTGTTATTGTTATTGAATCTACGGGGACAACTGTAGTCCCAGATCTCTATAATGTTACTTGGCCACACTTAAAGAGTACACTGCAGAAGATGGGAGCTCGTCCGGGATGGAGGTTGGCTGCAGTGTATCCACTACTAACTATTACATGCTGAGGTCCTAATTTCTTCCACAGTGAAACTCTCATACCATATTCTGAAAATGGCCTGCCGTGGGAAATAAACCCTGATAAACATCAGGGTTCAACTTCCAAGGCAGGCAGATGGTTTAAAAAAATATACTTGTCGCTTTTAGTCAGTGTTACAACCATAGCACCTTGGATGAGATTATGGCCTCACCACATGATATTCCCCATAACAGCTTACACTGAATCTCCACTGTTGAGACAGCACAATTTTCTAAAAACAAACATGTGTACATTTTTATTAAATTACACTCTTAACTTTTTCAGTGTGACAATCCCAAAGCTACAAAACCAGCAGTGTTTCTAGGACTGGTTCTAGGATTTCACAACATGAGAGAAGCATATCCTCATCTTCTTAGCGATCACTAGCTCTAAAGTCTGGTGGAAAGTTTTAGTTGTTCATCCACTTCTTTACTTCAGTGGTCTTGTTCCAGAACTTGAGTTTTGCAGGCTAGACTCGCTACAGTACCTAGTAAATGAGTATCAGACTCGCTACAGTACCTAGTAAATGAGTATCAGACTCGCTACAGTACCTAGTAAATGAGTATCAGACTCGCTACAGTACCTAGTAAATGAGTATCAGACTCGCTACAGTACCTAGTAAATGAGTATCAGACTCGCTACAGTACCTAGTAAATGAGTATTAGACTCGCTACAGTACCTAGTAAATGAGTATCAGACTCGCTACAGTACCTAGTAAATGAGTATCAGACTCGCTACAGTACCTAGTAAATGAGTATCAGACTCGCTACAGTACCTAGTAAATGAGTATCAGACTCGCTACAGTACCTAGTAAATGAGTATCAGACTTGCTACAGTACCTAGTAAATAAATGAGTATCAGACTTGCTACAGTACCTAGTAAATGAGTATCAGACTTGCTACAGTACCTAGTAAATGAGTATCAGACTCGCTACAGTACCTAGTAAATGAGTATCAGACTCGCTACAGTACCTAGTAAATGAGTATCAGACTCGCTACGGTACTAGTAAATGAGTATCAGACTCGCTACAGTTCCTAGTAAATGAGTATCAGACTCACTACAGTACCTAGTAAATGAGTATCAGACTCATTACAGTACCTAGTCAATGAGAATGAGACTCATTACAGTACCTAGTCAATGAGAATGAGACTCATTACAGTACCTAGTCAATGAGAATGAGACTCATTACAGTACCTAGTCAATGAGAATGAGACTCATTACAGTACCTAGTCAATGAGTATGAGACTCATTACAGTACCTACTAAATGAGCACTAGACTCGCTACAGTAGCCAGTAAATGAGTATGAGACTCACTATAGTACCTATTAAATGAGTACTAGACTTGTTACAGTACCTAGTTAATGAACACTAGACTCATTACAGTACCTAGTAAATGAGAGCCAGACTTGCTATAGTACCTAGTAAATGAGTATAAGACTCGCTAAAGTACCTAGTTAATGAGTACTAGACTTGTTACAGTACCAAGTTAATGAGTACTAGACTTGTTATAGTACCTAGTTAATGAGTACTAGACTCATTACAGTACCTAGTAAATGAGAGCCAGACTTGCTATAGTACCTAGTAAATGAGTATAAGACTCGCTAAAGTACCAAGTTAATGAGTACTAGACTTGTTACAGTACCAAGTTAATGAGTACTAGACTTGTTACAGTACCAAGTTAATGTGTACTAGACTTGTTATAGTACCAAGTTAATGAGCACTAAACTTGTTACAGTACCGAGTAAATGAGTACTGGACTCGCTACAGAACATAGTAAACGAGTACTGGACTCGCTACAGAACATAGTAAACGAGTACTGGACTCGGAAGAGTACCTCTCTGAGTGCCTCATGGCCCTGATGGTTGCCACTCCTGCAATTGTTTCCTGAGAAATGAGCGTAGATCGGGGACAAGCTGATGCTGGACAAACGTTTGAGCTCTCTCGATGTCCGTCTGTAGTAGTGCTGCAGAATCACACAAGAAGCATGAAAGTATTTAAAACAACACTTTTCTATACAACCATACCTCAGCATTTTCCCCGTGAAGGTTTCAGGGCCTCTTAAAAGGGGACAAAAGAACACACTCACTGCCCCATAAAATAACACGTTGTAAATTGTGACTAATTCATGGCCTTTTGAAATTGGATATGTTTCGCTGAAATGCAAAGATATCACAGCACAAACCACAACACAGTGTGCCAAATACCCTTTTAACTCTTTGAGTCTCAAGGAATGCATCATACATTCATAGGTTCCTACCTAGAGGCCCAATGAGCGCAAGATGCGTTGATTTTACATCTCTCTTTACTACCCCTTGGTCCTCTGATGCTAAACCTCCTTGGACTGAAAGAGTTAAAGGGTGAACACAGAAAAACGAATGAACAAACGAACATTATTTTCAAAGGGTCACAAATTTGGCACGCAGGCCCGTCTTACATTCGGCCCTTCCAAACACCTGTCTTTCACACTGCAGCTGTTTTTTTATCAATAAGCATGTTATATTCATATGATAATATGCATATTAAGAATATCAAAAAAGAGAGGAGAAAAAAGCACAAAAGCATGGGTGGTAAAATGCATGCGCATACACACACACCCACCCACTCACTTAAACACACCCACATACCTTCACACACATATTAACACATCTCATTCACCCACATTCATAACTACATACCCACACAGACACGCACATTCCACACACATGCAAACGTACAGATACACCCAAAGAAACAAATGCAGACACACACACAAACAGACATACGCGCACATACCCAATCACACACTCAGATACACAGACATGCACATGCGACACACACAAACCGGCATACACACACACGCAGACACATATGCACAAACACACGCAGACACACTCGGAGACACACAAACACACACACAATCGCAGACACACACACACGCGTGCTGATGCTCACGCAGACACATACACACAACCACAGACACACACACGCAGAATCATACGCAGGCATTTATACACACTGGCGCACGCACAGATACACGCAGACACACACCAACAAACAAGAAGGAGGAGGAAGAAGAAGAAGAGGAAAGAGTAGGAGGAGGAGAAGAAGAAAAAGAAGGAGAAAAGGAAGGACAAGGAGGTGAAGAAGAAAAAAGAAAGAAAAAAGATAAAAGAAGAAGAAGAAGAAGAAGAAGAAGAAGAAGAAAAAAAGAAGAAAAAGAAGGGAGGAAAGAAAGAAGAAGAAGAAACTGTTACCTGTATCTTGAAGTAGACTGCTCCCATTGGAATCAAACAGATGGCAAACCAAGGGAGACCATAACATGTGATAACCAGTGTTCCCAGCATACCGTAGGCTTGGGCCAGCAGTATGTTCAGTGTGAAAGGGAGGGAATCATCAACCGCATACAGGTCTGATGAAAATCGGTTGACGATTCGCCCAAGAGGGGTCGTTTCGAAAAAACTAAGAGGTGCCTGAAATTATGAGTGATTAAAACAAAAGTTTTCAATAATATTACTCTGACTGGTATAAGTGATGTTGTAACATGCCTATCATAGTTCTCTCTGTCACAACATACTTAAATATAACTCACCGACTACATGTTAGTTAAAAACCATTTTGTGGTGCTCCAATATAACTGTGCTATATGGTTGAGTTATGTTGAGTTAAGAATTGACATCACAGCACTTGGGACATTCCCATGGACGCTCCGTCCTCCTTTTTAGCAGCCAGCGCAGAGTTCCAATACTGATGGTACCGGTCGCAATCTGGTTATATGTCCGTCTTGCCTTTCCTCTGAGTGTAGTGAGCCAGGCAAGACACTCTGGTTACATCCAAGTGTCTCATTCTCTCCAGGCAATAATAACCTTCTTTCTCTACCAATTCCGTTGCTTGTTCTCAAAGGGCCTTGACCACATCTGCCTTGTCACGTATCAAGTCACCACCCAGTGGTGCAGATTTAGCCAATCTGTCTGCCTGTTCATTACCCACCACGCTGGCATGGCCTGGAGAAAAGATCCAAAGTATGCTTATTTCCCTGGACCTTTCCAGCTATATGGTTAAATGGAGCTTCCATTATTTGCAAATGTAAATCTGGAGGGGATTTGTTTCTTTTAAACTTAGTTCTTTGTTAGATAACACCCACCCACACTGGACTGTAGGTTACTTCACAACCATTCTGTGGTGCCCCAATATATCTGTGCTATATGGCAGAACGGGGTTTCCAGGATGTGAAACTGTTTGATTCTCATCCTTGGGATATCAATCATTCAGAAGGCTAATCTGGAGGGCAAAAACTCAATTTAAAAACAAAAAATGCTTAGCTCTCTTATTCTTTTTCTCTGCATTTAATGGGTGGTTAGCGCGTTCTGTTGAGGTTTACAGCTAGGCTGCGACATCTGCACCTTTCAGCCCAATACTTCCAATTTCAGCAAACCTTCTATTTGCCTTTATGTCATGCTTGTTGGGGGGGGTCTATTCTTTGTTCTCCCCCAAAAATAGGACTCCAGAACCCATACTGGACAACGGGTTCCTCTGTAAATGTATGGTGCCCCTATATTACTGTTTTTTACAGATGAACCAGGTCTCTTTCATTTTCTCCTGTTGGTTTCACATCTGAAATAGTCACTCTTTAAGTCACTGAGAGTCAATCTTTTATCTGGGTAACGACTCGACATCACAGCACTCAGGACAAGCCCACATCAGCTCCGTCTCCCTTCTCAACAGCCAGTGAAGAGTCTCCGTATCGATGGTACTTGCAGTTGTCTGATTAACTATTCATCATTTACACCTGCATGACCTGGCATGAAAACCAAACTGATCCTTATCAGCGGTGACCGCCTCAGAGACACCTTTTTACCCGTCTACCTTTGCTTCATTCTTTCTGCTTGTCTCAACCCCTCCCCCAATTTTCATCCACCGGGTCTTTTATTCCTCCTTTTTTATTTTCATCAACACATCCATCTGTTTTCTAGCCCTATGCAGACAATGACTATTCTTCTTTTTTTTAATCTTCTTTTTCTTAGCATTCCTCAGCAGTAAACTCTGGTTGTACATCCACTCCTAGACTTAAGCTTTGTTTCAGAACTTCAATTTTGCGTGCACATCCATTTTACAAATTTGCTTATTTGGTTCCTCACCTACTTCAGAGGCAATATCTTTAATTAGTCCCCTTTTACGAAATACCTGATAGGGAGGTAGTGAGTCCGTTCTCCCCTTCCTCCAAATGGGGCTCAGGAACCCACCGGGACATGACAATTCATGTTCTAATTATTATGCATCTGTTAAACAACAAAAACGGAAGTCACACTAGTATAGTGGCTAAATGCTCGCCTACCAAGTTGACCCAGTCTAAAACGGCTGGAAGTAAAGGTGGGGGACATCACATATTGAGTACTGACTTGTCTATAAAAATATGAGTCTAGCATCATATACCCCATGCGACACTGCTGCGCCAACAAAATCCTTCACCTACAATAAAAAAACTTCTTCTTCTTCAGCATTCCGAGCTCTTGAGGCTCACTGTTGCAGATATCACCCGCCCCCATTCATCTCTCTGGTTGGTCTTCTTCAGCATTCCGAGCTCTTGAGGCTCACTGTTGCAGATATCACCCGCCCCCATTCATCTCTCTGGTTGGTCTTCTCTTTCCAGTTGGTGACACCAAGTGTTTGCAGGTCTGTCTGGATATTATCTCTCCATCGTCTTCTTGATCTGCCTTGTGGTCTACGACCATTTATCTCCCTCGTGTATACAGTTTTCACTTCTCTGTCATCTGACATTCTTTCAATATGCCCCAACCATTTCAACAACGAAAAACTGCCTTTATATATTAATTAAATCTGTAACTTGCTGCAAAAGAAAATCTGTCCACCTTTAAAACAGCCGACAGCAGCCGTTTGTGCACAACTGTTGCAGCACAGATCCCACCATAAGCAAATAAGAATGAACGAGCCAGCGTGAAGATGGAATTGACCCCTGCAAGGCTGCCATAGATCCCAAGGTAAAACCGGAGGTTATCTTCTGCTGGGGTTAAATGTGCGAGTGGTAAAGAACTGAAACAATTCAAAGATAAAACCATGCATCATCATAAAAACTCCATCTATGAACAGGACACTGTAGGCTCAACTACTACATGCATAAAATAAAGATTGTACAGTCCCCACAGTGTGCCTGTCAAACAGGACCCCCAAACACCTGAACACATTCTGCAGACCTGCCTACTCTACCTACAACTTTGAAAAGACACCTGGCCTCAAGATCAGAGCAAGCTAAGGGGAACCATGAAGAACCTGCTACTGACATGCAAGTTCACAGAGGTAACCCACCTGATGGTCTGATCTGAGCATTCGGAACCGAATGCAAAGAAGAAGAAGATCATAAAATCTATATCATTATCTCCTTCTTTTGCGTTGGCTCTTAAAAAGGCAATTGGCACACTGTGTCCTAATTTACAGCTAGTCTGGGATATTTGGGCCTTCCAACACATCTGATTTAAGAAAACCCTAATTAGTCTTTTTTGCTTGTTGTGAGTGGGTAGTGGAGAGAGGGGAGGCCTGGGGTGGGAGTGGAGGGGGGCAGAGGTGCAATGATGCTGTTCTTTTTTGTTCCCCCCCCCCCCCCAGACAAAGTTCTGGAACCCATATAAAAAAATCATCATTATTTGCACCAACACAAATATAACAATCTGTTATATTCTGCTTCATTATACAATGATCTGAATGTAAATGTTTAATTAGGAATCAACATTACAGCACACAGGAACATTTCCTCTTGTATACCTCTTACTCTCTTGCCCTCGACCTTTCCTTCAGCACTTCTATGGAACTACTGCAGTGTCGGGAGCTGGTACTGCATAGTGGCCAGATGCTCACCTGCCTACCCAAAGGTCTAGGGTTCTTCTTCTTCTTAGCATTTGCTGGCTATAAACTCTGGCAGAAAGTTCTTGTTGTTCGTCCATTTCTGGACTTTGGTACTGATCTAGAACTTGAGTATTGTGTGCACATCCGTTTTACAGATCTGTCTTACTTGTACGTAGACTACTGGTTCCTTCGCTCTTAAGCAGACGCACTCTGACTGTGAAAGAAACACCCCTAATTAGTCGTCTCATACGACATGATTGTTGCGTCAGGGAGAGGGTGGGTCTACTCTTTGTTCCCAAAAAAAAATGGAGCCCGGAACCCACACGGGGAGTCTAGGGTTCAAAATAGCATTGAGGAAGATGTTTTCAAAGCTGACCTTGGCTCACAGGTGAACCCAGCCTAAACTAGGTACAGGTTATGTCCTGGGAAGTAAAGGCGGCCGGCGTAATACTGACCACATTCATCATCATCATCATCAGTTCTCGTTATGCCTAGTGGCACATGAGGCTTCAGAGAGGACTTTCCATGCTTTCCTGTCCTGTATAATCTTCAGTGCAGTTTTCCATGTCAAAGATGCCGCACTCAGGTCACTTTCCATCGTTCGTCTCCATGTTGTTTTTGGGCGCCCTTGTTTTCTCTTTCCCTCTGGTGTCCATGTGAGAGCTGTTTTGGCGGGTATATCAGAAGTAATTCTCATAACGTGGCCAAGCCATTTTCATCTTCTCTTGGTAATCATACTATCTAAAATTTCTTGGTTTGTGATTTGAGGTAGTTTAGTGTTTGAGATTGTATCTGGCCAGAAAATTTTGATAATTCTACGTAGACATGTGTGGTGGAAGGTGGATAGCTTGTGTGCATCCTTTTTGGTCATTCTCCAGCATTCCGCTCCATAAAGAAGAACTGGCAAAATGATGCAATGCTGACCACATTACTTTATCGAAAACCGATTGGTCTATGGAAATACAGCTCTAGCAGCATATGCCTGTGCCTAAGGAATATATATTTTTAACTTACATTTTTCTTTTTTTAGTATCTGGCTTATTTGTATGCAGACTGTTGGTTCCTCACCTCTCTGGCAAATGCACTCCGACTTCCAAGAAACACCCATAATTAGTTGCCTTGTATGACATGCTTCATTAGTCTTCTTTTTTCTTCTAAAAAAATGGGGCCCTGAGAACATAGGGAATCTTGACCATGATGATGATGATGGTGGTGGTGATGATGATGATAATGATGATGATGATAATGATGACGATGATAATAAAGTTTGAGGAAATGTATAAGTTCAGTGTGTGATAATTAATGTTGAGCTTTCACAGTATCACATCAAAACCTTGTATCACAGTGCAAGCTAAACTTACTCTCTCTGCCCAGAACTGAGAAATGAATTCACATCTGCACTTCCATTCTGAGATCCACTGTTGCTATGGGACACCCAGTAGGACAGCCACCAATCACTTGTGTTTCTTGATGCTGATTTGTTTGGGATTTAAAAATTAAAAATAGATTAATAAAGAAAACAGAAAAGTTGAGAGCTGAGAGTCTCAGAAGGAGCAAAACACTAAATGCATGTGACGGCTATAACGGTCCGGAATCCCACCCTCTAATTGTTCTGCTCATCAGAACCACAGAAGAGAGGCATACACACATTGCAGACAGAACATCATCATTAGAACCATGGGAGAGAGGCATACACACCTTGCATAAAGAACATCGTTATCAGAACCATGGGAGAGAGGCATACACACATTGCAGACAGAACATCATCATTAGAATCATGGGAGAGAGGCATACACACCTTGCATAAAGAACATCGTCATCAGAACCATGGGAGAGAGGCATTCACAACTTGCATACAGAACATCATCATCAGAACCATGGAAGAGAGGCATACACATCTTGCATAAAGAACATCGTCATTAGAACCATGGGAGAGAGGTATACACATCTTGCATAAAGAACATCGTTATCAGAACCAAGGGAGAGAGGCATACACAGATTGCAGAAAGAACATTGTCATCAGAACCATGGGAGAAAGGCATACACAGATTGCATAAAGAACATTGTCACCAGAACCATGGGAGACAGGCATACACACCTTGCATAAAGAACATTGTCATCAGAACCATGGGAGAAAGGCATACACAGATTGCAGAAAGAACATTGTCATCAGAACCATGGAAGAGAGGTAGACACACCTTGCAGAAAGAACATTGTCATCAGAACCATGGAAGAAAGGCATACACATCTTGCATAAAGAACATTGTCATCAGAACCATGGAAGAGAGGCATACACACCTTGCATAAAGAACATCATCATCAGAACCATGGAAGAGAGGCATACACACCTTGCATAAAGAACATTGTCATCAGAACCATGGGAGAGAGGCATACAGAATATTGTCATCAGAACCATGGAAGAGAGGCATACACACCTTGCATAAAGAACATCATCATCAGAACCATGGAAGAGGCATACACACCTTGCATAAAGAATATTGTAATCAGAACCATGGGAGAGAGGCATACACACCTTGCATAAAGAACATCGTCATTAGAACCATGGAAGAGAGGCATACACACCTTGCATAAAGAACATTGTTATCAGAACCATGGAAGAGAGGCATACACACCTTACATAAAGAACATCATCATCAGAACCATGGAAGAGAGGCATACACACCTTATATAAAGAACATTGTCATTAGAACCATGGAAGAGAGGCATACACACCTTGCATAAAGAACATCATCATCAGAACCATGGAAGAGGCATACACACCTTGCATAAAGAATATTGTCATCAGAACCATGGGAGAGAGGCATACACACCTTGCATAAAGAACATCATCATCAGAACCATGGAAGAGAGGCATACACACCTTGCATAAAGAACATTGTCATCAGAACCATGGGAGACAGGCATACACACCTTGCATAAAGAACATCATCATCAGAACCATGGAAGAGAGGCATACACACCTTACATAAAGAACATTGTCATCAGAACCATGGAAGAGAGGCATACACACCTTGCATAAAGAACATTGTCATCAGAACCATGGAAGAGAGGCATACACACCTTACATAAAGAACATTGTCATCAGAACCATGGAAGAGAGGCATACACACCTTGCATAAAGAACATTGTCATCAGAACCATGGAAGAGAGGCATACACACCTTACATAAAGAACATTGTCATCAGAACCATGGAAGAGAGGCATACACACCTTACATAAAGAACATTGTCATCAGAACCATGGGAGACAGGCATACACACCTTGCATAAAGAACATTGTCATCAGAACCATGGGAGACAGGCATACACACCTTGCATAAAGAACATTGTCATCAGAACCATGGGAGACAGACATACACACCTTACATAAGGAACATTGTCATCAGAACCATGGAAGAGAGGCATACACACCTTGCATAAAGAACATTGTCATCAGAACCATGGAAGAGAGGCATACACACCTTGCATAAAGAACATATCATCAGAACCATGGAAGAGAGGCATACACACCTTACATAAAGAACATTGTCATCAGAACCATGGGAGACAGGCATACACACCTTACATAAGGAACATTGTCATGAGAACCATGGAAGAGAGGCATACACACCTTGCATAAAGAACATTGTCATCAGAACCATGGGAGACAGGCATACACCCACATTCTTCCAATAATTCTTATAGACATCAGCTTTCACTGATCCAGTCTGTCGTTCCTCTTCCTGTATTAACTTGTCTTCTGCCTCTTCTGTTGCATCACATTCTTCACTGTCCTTTGCATTCCGCTCCTCATGATGATCATCTTCAAGATGTATGTTGGGAAGGACATCACGGGGCAGCCCTACAAGGAAGTGAAAAAGTTACAATGTTCTGTTTCCATTTTATTCAAAGTCATTCCTTGCACAGTAAATATCAATGTTAACTTTGTAACCTAAATATAGCTATAGAGTGCAAATGCAATAAGCAGGCATCTGAATGTAAATATCTGGGAACAACATTCACTGAAGATTGGAAACAGGATGAAGAAATTAATATCAGATACCAGTGTTTCTAAAACTTTTCTTGGTCACTGCACCTTTTTTCAATTAAAATTTTTTCACGCCGTCATAACCTAAGTAAAAAAAAAGTATGACATTTCGTGTCTTGGTTCAATTAATGATGAAGCTTTTACAATATTTTGTGGCGTCCCTGTGAAGAGGTCATGGCTTACCGGAGTGCACCAGCGCACAGTTTGGGAATCACTGTCATATACAGTCAAGCGAACCAAGTATTGGGACAGCAAGCCTCCCTCTTACGGAAGAAAACAATCCTGATTAACACAAAGAAACATTTCATTCGAAGAATACTCATCCCCACTCTAAGCTACCAGGACCAGATATGGTGCCTTACACAACACATTAGCGAACAGGTCACTTAATGACTGGCCAGAAGACGACTTCGACGCCAGTTGGGACAGTATTTGGGTCTGTCTCCTCTGATCGCAGGAGTCTTTTACAGGGCTCATGGTGGCATACAGTGCTAAGCCATTTTATACACCTCATCATCATCATTTAGCAGGTCCTTTGCAGAACGTCGCTCTCATCACAGTCTGCCTGAAAGAGACTCGGCCTCTCGCCAGCTCTCCCGCCTCGTGTTCTTTCATACTCAAGGAGTCACTTATATCCTGTGCCCATCTTTGTGTTGGTCGGCCCCTGCCCCTCCTTTCTGGTACCATGCCTTCTGCTATAATTTGTTCCAATCCGTCATGGTGCTTGACATGACCAAATTATTTCAGCTTCCGAGACAGAACGCTGTTTATTAGCCAATCTTCATTGATGTTCAGATCTTTCAAGATGTCAACATTTCTCCTCTTCTTTGTCCAAGACATTCTGAGAATCTTTTTATAGCAATTCAGCTCAGAAGTCTCTTTTCTCTTTCTTAAGGACTGGGAGATAGTTCACAACTCACATCCGTATGTAACCACAGGGAAGATGCATGCTCTCAAAGTTCTAATTTTGATCTCCTTGCTGATATGGCCCAAATAACATAGTCACAGTTATAACTTAAAGCTCCCCCTTCGAGGGTGCTGGTTGAACGTGATGATTTAGTTATTTTTTTCCTAGCAAAAGCGTCAACACCGCCGCCGCCGCCGCCACCAACACCACCACCACCAACACCACCACCAGCACCACCACAACCACCAACACCACCAACACAACCACCACCAACACCACCACCACCAACACCACCACCACCAACACCACCACCACCACCGCCAACACCGCCTCACACAACAAATGATAAAAGACCATTAGTAACCATGGAAACGTGATGTCTGAAAAAGGCTGCTGGAGTGACAAGAAGAGATTAAATCAGAAATTAGTTCAAAAGATTTTTTTTTAAATCACCACAACAAAAAAATTATAAATTGCACACAAAGACAGAAGATAAAATGGTCTGCCAAGGCATTTACCAAAAGTGGACACACAGGACACACAAGCCAGACCAAGAACAAGATGGAAAGAGGGCTCAGAGAAACTCTACAACATCATGATGTCTCTGTGGTTGAGAAGAGCCAGAAGCGGAAACTTAATTCTCCGGTAAGTGAAGAAGAAGATTCACCCCAAACTACAGAACTGAGACCAATACTGACCTATCGTCTTCTTCTTTCCCTTTATCAGCACAATGTGTCGATGGTTGAGGCGGCCAGAAGAGCAAGAAGCGGGAACTTAATTCTCCGGTAAGTGAAGAAGAAGATTCACCCCAAACTACAGAACTGAGACCAATACTGACCTATCGTCTTCTTCTGTCCCTTTATCAGCACAATGTGTCGATGGTTGAGGCGGCCAGAAGAGCAAGAAGCAGGACCATAATTCTCCAGTAAGTGAAGAAGAAGATTCACCCCAAACTACAGAACTGAGACCAATACTGACCTATTGTCTTCTTCTGCCCCTTTATTGAAATGAACAGGCAGACTGACTGACCAGTACTGCACCATCTATTCATCACCAGTGCTATAAAATGGCACCCATATCAAAGGATACACAGCAAGTCTAAAACTTTAAAATGTTTTGAACATTTTAAGACACAAAACATGTATATTAATTAAAGATTTCTTTTTTTTTTTTTTAAAGTTTTTTTTTCTTCTTCTTCTGCATCCATCCGAAGATGTTCTGCATCCATGCGAAGATGTTCTGCATCCATCCAAAGATGTTCTGCATTCATCTGAAGATGTTCTGCATCCATGCGAAGATGTTCTGCATTCATCCGAAGATGTTCTGCATTCATCCCAAAATGTTCTGCATTTGTCCGAAGATGTAATTGCATCGTGCTCGTTTACAGCATGGCTGTGATATTTGCATCTTTCTGCGGGCATTTGTTGACCAAGTTAGCCTTCCTGGATAATAACAATTTAAAATCCTGGCAATCCTTCTTGATGACCCTGTATTTCATGATTAATTGCCAGGCATATCTTACTGTAGAACTCTACGTAGAACTATCATCAGGGAAGGCTCGCTCATGGGCCACTCAAACATCCAGGACCTACAACAGATTGCAACGAACCGCCATGAATGGAGAGTCATGACCTCTGCCCTATGTGCCGCACTCGACACAAGAGGAAAGACTAACTAACTAACTAATATCTTACTGTATCTTGTCAGGTGCACTACTACAAACTGTAATCAACAGATAATGAAGCATACAAGCGAATCATGTTGATGGAAACTCATAAATTACAGTTTATTGTTACACTGTACATTTCGCTACGTCATGGCGGCCTTAGCAACAACACTGATGACCTCTGCGGCCAGCCGCTTCTGAAAATGTTGGTCCAGGATTCTAGCTTATGCAACGGAGTACGTGAGTTTGAGCTGAGTTCTTCTTCACTTGCTCTTAGTAAGTTAGTTATTCCTCTTGTGCCAAAGATGGCGCATAGGGCAGAGGTCATAGCTTTCCACGTCTGTCGGTTCTTTGCCACTTGATGTAGGTCTTGAGTGCGACTGAGACCTATGGTTGAGCTCTCCCTTGTGATGGTTCTACGGAGAGTTTCTTTTGGTCTTCCCTGTTTTCTTTTACCCTCTGGTGACCATACGAAGGCTTGGTGGGGAAGTCTCTGTATGTCCATTCTGAGTACGTGACCGATGTAATTCCAGTTCACTTGCTCTATGTAATAGTGATCAGTCGTTTTACACTTGTGGAGCTTTCAAAGAGTAATTACGGTACCACTATAAATGTTCACAAAAATTCTCACACATATGAAAAGAACAAAATACCTGATTGCGTTATTCTCCCATCCTCCATAACTACCACCAGGTCAGCCTTTTTTAGAAACTTCACATGGTGCGTGCAAAGTACCCTGGTTTTTGATCGCAGTAATCCCATGATGCAGTGGGTGTAAATATGCTTGGCCACATGAATGTCCATGGCAGACAGGGGATCATCAAGAAGATATAACGATTTGTCCTGGAAAAATTAGGCTAGGGTTATATAACGACTTGTCCTGAACAAATTAGACTGGGGTCATATAACGATTTGTCCTGCAAAAATTAGACTGGGATCATATAATGATCTGTCCTGGAAAAATTAGACTGGGGTCATATAACGAATTATCCTGGAAAATTATACTGGGGTCATATAACAATTTGTCCTGGAAAAATGAGACTGGGGTCATATAACGATTTGTCGTGGTAAATTAGACTAGGGTCATATAACGATTTGTCCTGGTAAATTAGACTGAGGTCATATAACGATTTGTCCTGGTAAATTAGACTAGGGTCATATAACAATTTGTCCTGGTAAATTAGACTAGGGTCATATAACGATTTGTCCTGGTAAATTAGACTGGGGTCGTATAACGATTTGTCCTGGTAAATTAGACTAGGGTCATATAACGATCTGTCCTGGTAAATTAGACTAGGGTCATATAACAATTTGTCCTGGAAAAATTGAACTGGGGTCATATAACGATTTATCCTGGTAAATTAGACTGGGGTCATATAATGATTTGTCCTGGAAAAATTAGACTGGGGTCATATAACAATTTGTCCTGGAAAAATTAGGCTGGGATCATATAATGATTTGTCCTGGAAAAATTAGACTGGGGTCATATAAGGATTTGTCCTGGAAAAATTAGACTGGGGTCATATAACAATTTGTCCTGCAAAAATAAGACTGGGGTCATATAACAATTTGTCCTGGAAAAATTATACTGGGTCATGTAACAATTTCTTCTAAGAAAATTATACTGGGGTCATTTAACAATTAGTTCTGGAAAAATTGGACTGGGGACATTAAAAAAAATGTGTCCTCGAAAAATTAGACTGCGGTCAAGTAATGATTTTCCTGGAAGAAATTAGACTGGGGTCATAAAACAATTTTCACTGAACAATTAGACCAAGTACACAATCAAGAATATATGACATGTGGAAAATATTATACTGTTGTCAACAATAATATATAATGACTTGTAAATGTATTATATTGGGGTCAACAATAATATATAATGACTTGTAAATGTATTATATTGGGGTCAACAATAATATACAATGACTTGTAAAAATATTACATTTGGAAACAATAAGATATTATTTAGAAGAATACTGAAATGTGGTTCAATAGAATAATGTAGAGATGTGGTTCTATAGAATAATTTAGACATGTGGTTCTTAAGAAGAATGTAGAGATGTGGTTCTATAGAATAATTTAGACATGTGGTTCTATAGAAGAATGTAGAGATGTGGTTCTATAGAATAATTTAGATATGTGGTTCTATAGAAGAATGTAGAGATGTGGTTCTATAGAAGAATGTAGAGATGTGGTTCTATAGAAGAATGTAGAGATGTGGTTCTATAGAAGAATGTAGAGATGTGGTTCTATAGAAGAATGTAGAGATGTGGTTCTATAGAAGAATGTAGAGATGTGGTTCTATAAAAGAATTTAGAGATGTGGTTCTATAAAAGAATTTAGAGATGTGGTTCTATAAAAGAATTTAGATATGTGGTTCTATAGAATAATTTAGATATGTGGTTCTTTAGAAGAATGTAGAGATGTGGTTCTATAGAAGAATGTAGAGATGTGGTTCTACAGAAGAATGTAGAGATGTGGTTCTATAAAAGAATTTAGAGATGTGGTTCTATAGAAGAATGTAGAGATGTGGTTCTATAGAAGAATGTAGAGATGTGGTTCTATAGAAGAATGTAGTCATGTGGTTCTATAGAAGAATGTAGAGATGTGGTTCTATAGAAGAATGTAGTCATGTGGTTCTGTAGAAGAATGCTGACCTGTTACTCCACAGAAAGACATTGTTTAACTTTGAAAAGAAAACAAAAGCAAACCTGATAAACAGCTCTGGCCAAAGCGACCCTTGACCTCTGGCCACCACTTAAAGTGATTCCATTCTCTCCAATCTCTGTCATGTCGCCAGATGGCATCATCTGAAAATATTTTTTTATTTTTTTTATTCTTAATAATAATAAAATGTCATTCTAACACTACATGTATTGGTTTGGAATGTCTTCAACTAACTCTTGCTGTAACTATACCCAAGGCAAGCAACATTTTTGCTGGATTGTTTGTTCATCAGAATTTTAAAAAGAAATCAGAATATGAAAGACAGGGAGAAGAAAGAGGTGAAGAAAGAAGAGGATAATTAGACTAGAAAATAAACATAATTAAGGGAGGGTGGGAGGAAGAAAAAAAGGATGAAGAAAAAATAACAGAACAAAATGGAAATTAGGAAGAAAAAAAAAACACAAGAAGAAGGGGAAGACAAAAACAATAAAGAATGGTTCTTTTTGCGATTTTTTTAAATCAATCTAAACACGGGGAATCCTGGAGTTCCCTGGAAAGTCTAACAGTGTAGGGTGTCAAGTCTAGGGTTAGTCTATGTTCATTTCAAACAGTAACACCCATATAACCCTGGACTTTTTGGGGGAACTCCAGGATTTTCCTGTGTTTAAGGTAAATAAAAAATCCAGAACCCAAAGACTAAGAAAACTCCAGAGAAGATTCCACAAACACATCGTACCTTCAGATCCTCCACCAAAGCACAGGCTTTCAGCACCTGCTCATACCTCTGGCTATTGAAAGGCTGCCCAAACAGGATGTTGTCTCTCACAGTGGCTTGCTGCACCCAAGGCTCCTGGGCGACCAAGGCAAACCCCTCCTCCAGGCCGTCCACAAAGACCTCTCCCTGTGTTTTGTTCATCTCTCCAACTAAGGCATTCAGCAGGGAGCTCTTCCCAGACCCCACCCTGCCCACAATGCCAACAAACTGTCCCTGAAAGTACAGGCATTTTACTGTGTTAGAAAAAAATAATTCTAAGTAGAGGTATTCTTTTGTCTAAGAAAACAGAAAAATGGTAGGCAGAGGTATTCTATGCTTCTTCTTCTTCAGCATTCCGAGCCCTTGAGATTCATTGCTGAAGATATCACCCGCCTCCACTCATCTCTCTGATTAGCCTTCTCTTTGCAGTTGGTGACACCAAGTGTGTAGAGGTATTCTATTGTCTCAGAAAACAGAAAAATGGCAGGTAGAGGTATTTAGTTGTTTCAGAAAATAGAAAAATGGTAAGTAAAAGTATTGTAAGTAGAAGTATTCTATTGTCTTAGAAAATAAAATAATGTGTTCCGTGAATGTACAGTGTTAAACAATTGATGTATGTGTCTGCATCTCTCAAAAGTCGTTAGTTTAACCTCTGGTTTGCTAGTAGACTGATTACTGTGCTCAAATCTTTGTTTATATAAGTCAGTTAGCTAGTCAGTCAACAGGTTATCCTAGCTGTACATCGAATCACTCAGACCAAAAAAGCTCAGATCCCCTCCTCAGAAGATTGTTTGTAGCGGCTGACGACACCAGTTTTGTGTTTGGTTCTTATTCATCTTTGGCTTCTTTGGCTCTTGTCTGGCCCCTTTCAACTTGCTGTACACAAAATTCAAATAAGGTGTATCAGTCTTGCTGTACACAAAATTCAAATAAGGTGTATCAGTCGTGTGCACATGTGGAAAGTTGCCCCAGACAGCAAAACGTGTACTCCAAGACTGCACTAAATAAGTCACAGCTTTTGGCGGCAGAAAGAACAACAGTGGAATGTAAACTCTACAAACCGCTGAATGAACTAAAAACAACAGTGAAATGTATACGGGAGACAAAATTGCTGATACAGACAACTTATTTCAGGCAAGTAAAAGAAGAAGAAGAACTTGCCATACTTGCACTCTAGTCATGATTGCAGATGCACAGACAGTTGGTTCTCACAAAGCATCTTACATCTCATTGTTTATCTTGTGGCACCAACATGAACAGGTTAGAAAGCAGTGCTGTAAAGTGACAAACTTTGATCAGAAACAGTGAAATCAAGATACCTTCTCAATTCTGAGTGAAATATCATGGAGGTCTTGAGTCTGAGCACGTGTGGCAGCAGCAGGTGTAGGGGATGAGTTCTCTCCCTCATTTCTGGAATCTTCCACAACACTAGTAATGGAATCAGAATCTTCACAGTGAGAGTTTGTCCAGGTGAAACTAGCATTTTTTAGCCAAACCACAGGACTGCCTTCAGGTTCTGAAAGATTAGGACAGACATAGGTTTTATGAGAATTACCATCATAAAGTTAGATGGGAGCAGACCATGAGGCAGACCAAGAAGATGGTGGGGAGATAATATACAAGCAGATCTATAAACACTTGGAGTCACCAAATAGAATGAGAAGGCCACAGAGATCAATAGAAGTGGTAATGTCTGCAGTAATGAACATCAAGGGCTCAGAATCTGAAGAAGTAGAAAAGGAAGAAGAAAAGAAAGACAGATGAAAAAAAAGGAAAGGAAGAAGAAGAAGAGGGGGAGAGAGAAGAGAAGAACAAGAAAAGGACAAGGAGGAAGAAGAAGAGGAGGAGAAGCAAAGAAGAAGAGTATGTGCATTTCTCTCTTCTGCCTTCCAGACTCCAATGGAGCACAGGCCCTCAACCAGCTCATGTCAAATCGTTCTATCCTCCGCTATCTCATGCAGCTCTCTCCATCTTTTTAACTTCACTCTCTAGCTTCTTTTCCATTTTTTTTTGGTCTTCTTTTATTTCTTTGCCCCAGTGGGTTCCAGTGCAAAGACATTCTAGTTACATTGTTCTCAAGTTTTCTCATGTGTCCTATCAAGCTCCAGCGTCTTTTCCTCACCTCTTGGTTCACTGGAACTTGTTTATTTCTCTCCCAAAACTCAACATTAGTGATTCTATTATTCATTTACTTCCTTTTATTCTGCGCAGGCACCAGTTAATGAATGTTTGTAGTTTATTAGTAATTGCCTTAGTAGTTCTCCATGTTTTTGCCCCATACATCAGTGCTTATTTAACATTAGAATTAACAATTTTAAGTTTAGTATTAGTTTTGATTTCTTTTGACCTCCACAAATTTCATAGTGCTATGAAAGCTCCTCTTGTTTTTTGTACATGTATTTTAATATCTCTATCAGTTTCTCCCTTTTTATCTACATTACTGCCCAAATAGGTGTACAACTTCACTTCTTGGGGTGGGATACCATTACCACATCGCTATTTGCCTGATTTATTCTCATTATCTTTGTCTTTCCCTTATGGATTTTCAGACCTAGCTGCTGTGATCTTGCATCAAGTACATTTAGTTCCTCTTGCATCTGTGGATTTACTAGGCAATCTCTCTTAGCGATCACCAGCTGTTAACTCTGCAGACAGCTCTGATTGTTAGCCCACTTCTGGACTTTGTTCTTGTTCCGGAACCTGAGTTTTACAGACTGGGTGTTTTTGTATGCAGACTGTTAATTTCTTGTCTCTCGGGCTGATGCACTCCGACTTTGATGGACACACCACTAATTAACGACAGGCTTGTTAATGGTTTGATACTGTTTTCTGAACGGAGGACCCTCACACCACGTGAGAGAATGAGGCACCTGGATGTAACCAGAGGGTCTGGCTGGCTCACTACACTCAGAGGAAAGGCAAGACAGACATATAACCAGATTGTGACCAGTACCATCACTTCTGCAACTCTGCGCTAGCTGCTGAAGATGAGGACGGAGCATCCATGGGAATTCCCCGAGTGCTGTGATGTCAATTCTTGATTCAACTCAGTTCAACTCAACCACTGTCCAAATCAACGCAAACCCATCTGTTGCCAAACTGCCCGCAGCTAAATTAAACTCTGATGTTGCAATTTAAAAAAGAGAAAAGCCTAAACAACTCTGAAGTTACAGATATCAACTACAGAGAATGAGTAAACAAACAAAATCAAAACAAAGATCTTCTTGTGGCGTTACACTAGACTCATATTTTCACAGCTCAACAGGGAATCAATAGGTCATGTGGTCATCATCATCATGTGACCATCTTTGCTTTCTAAGATATCTCCTTGTAGCCCTTTAAAGCTAGGTCGACCTGAAGCCAAGACCAATCAAGTGCTGTCTCCACAGCAACAAATTCGCTAAATGGATCTCCTACAGCCCCTGCATCTCACCCTGTACTGCCTTTCTTAATGTTAACCCCCCATTTGTATACCTCTTGCTCACTTCATTTAATCTTTCCCACCTGAATGTTTTTTAAAGCTTATGTTTTATAATGTGGCTGAAATATTTCATATGCCCCCCCCCCCCCCCCCATTTTTTTACTTTAACAGTTCTTTTCTTTATAGTAATGGCTTCTTCTTCTTCTTCTCTCTACTGGGGGTGTGTGATGTTCCAGAAAATTTTCAAAACTGAGGGGGTAACAGAAGAAGACTTTTAATCAGGATGCAGCTAGTACTATTAGTAGGTCAACTCTTTGCTGGCTGCTGAAGAAGGGGACGGAGCACATGATTGAATGTCCCGAGTGTTGCGATGTCAATACTTGATTCATTCATTCATTCATAGTTCTTTTTCTTCTTCTTCTTCGTCTTCGTCTTCTTTTCTTCTTTATCTTCTAGAATTCTGAGTATTTTAAGTTCAGGACTATGACTGGCCTTCTCCTTCCAGGTGGTGACTCCAGGTGGTGACTCCAGGTGGTGACTCCAGGTGGTGACTCCAGGTGGTGACTCCAGGTGGTGACTCCAGGTGGTGACTCCAGGTGGTGACTCCAGGTGTTTGTAAGTCTGCCTCTGTATTAACCCTAACCTTAACACAGAAAACTAGAGATGACAGTTACCTGCAACAGAAGTGTAGTAGTGGTCAGGGTCTGTGTCCTCCAGACAAACAAACTTGTGAACCCGTTTGAGGGACACCCAGGCTTCTACCAGGCCATTGATCACCCAGGGGAAGGCATTCAATGGAGAGATCAACATGAGGAACAGTGACAAGCTAGTAAACACCTGAAACGTACAGAAGTAAACATGAGAAACAGAAATGAAGCATCTTAAACATAAATATACATATAAACAGAAACAACAGTGACAAGCATGTAAACAGCTGAAACAGAAGCAAACACCTGAAACCAAAACAGACACCTTAAACAGAAACAACACTGACAAACAACTATAACACCTGAAAATTAAACAACAGTGATAAACAAGTAAACATCTGAAACAGAAACAAATATCTGAAACATAAACAACACTGACAAGCAACAACAACAAAATCAGTAAACAGAAACAACAGTGACAAGCAAGCAAACATCTGAAACAAAGAAGTGGAAGATCAACATGAGGACCAGCAATAAGCATGTATTTGGTTTTTCTTCTATTAATGGTTAAAGTCAGCGCCTACGACTTAGGCAAAATGACAGCACTCCATAACTCCGAGGTGTCAGCTGGATCCTAGCCGTGGGTGTTCTGGCTGCATACTGCTTTATGTTGGTTTCAACAGTGATATCGAGAGACAACTATTCAGAAAGTAATAGCCAACTACTGAAGGTAAAACTGTCTAGTGAAATCACAAACCACAGAAAATGCTTGGGTTGGTTCTGCAGCATCATGTAAAGGACATACAACTAACGTTTTTTTTTTCTTTCTTAAAGTGGTGCTGATGATGACGATAATGATGATGGTGATGACAATGATGACGATGATGATGAAGACAATGATGATGATGAATGATGATAATGATAACATTAATGATGATGATAACATCCATGATGATGATGATGATGATGATATTCATGAAGGTGATAAAATCCATGTTGATGATAACATTTATAATGATGATGATAACATCCATGATGATTATAAAAACAACATACATGATGATGATGACGCTGACATCCATGATAACGATGATGGAAACATCCATAATGATGATGATGAAACACCCATCATGATAATGATGATGACAACATCCATCATGATGACAATAATGAAAAATTCATTTTAATAATAATAATGACAACATCCACGATGATGATGATGATGTTGATCACAACACCGACGATGACGGTGATGAAGATGAAAAACGAACCTTAGCTGCAGTGAGTGTCTTTCCCATAACCACATATGTACTGAACGTGAGGATGGATATCATCACAGGTGTGGTGGCCCAAAAGTACACACACATGGCATCCAGGTACTTGCGGCCCCTCAGATACAGCAGCTCTTTCTCCCTTATGCTGTTGATTCTTGCGGTGAAATGTTGCTCCCAAGCGTAGAACTTCACCACGCGGATGCCACTCAGTAATTCATTCGTCAACTGTTTACAAATTCACATTGTCAGTTTTACAAATCATAACAATAAGATAATAATACTTCATTGGAACAGCAGGCTACAAGTCAAGAGGCTGACCAAGAAAGAGATGGAAGAAGGGGAGTAAAAGATAATAATACTTCATTGGAACAGCAGGCTACAAGTCAAGAGGCTGACCAAGAAAGAGATGGAAGAAGGGGAGTAAAAGATAATAATACTTCATTGGAACAGCAGGCTACAAGTCAAGAGGCTGACCAAGAAAGAGATGGAAGAAGGGGAGTAAAAGAGACTGCAGAAACGCAGTAATAGATTAATACAAGTTACACAGCCAGCAAAAGACAGGAAATTACATTTAACTCCTCTCTGTGACGTCTTAAAATATAAGAAGTAGGATAAAATAAGAAGAAGAAAAAGAAGACAAGGAGGAGGCAGAAGAGGAGAAGCAGAAGAAAAATAAGGAGGGGGAGAAAGGAAAGAAGATGCAGGATGCCGGGTCAACTGCTTTAAAAATATGACGATGCTAACTTAAACCCAGGACCTTCGAAGTCAGGGTTGGGGGGAGGGGGTTGTGGCCTGGAGTAGTCGGGGATGAACATTCCTCCAGTTGATTCCGAATCATGACAACAAGCAGGACTCAGTCTCCCTGTCCAGGTTGGTGGATGTGGGGTTGAAGGGGGGGTGCAACCTGGAGCAACCAGATATGAACGTTTCACCAAAGGCACAAGGCATCTGATTAATAAACAAGGAAGGAGCCTGATAAGTTCTTTTACTCTTGTGGAGCTATCAAGGATGCGATCAGAACACCTACAGATCTGTTCAGAGCGCTGTGATGATAGTCCTCACTAATCACCCACCTCTAAATACCCGTGTGTGTTCTGGGACTCCATGGAGGAAACAGACCATCTGACTTCCTAACAAGCACATCGTTAAGGATGACTAACTCTGGTTTTGCCGAAAGTGCATGTGCTAGATTGAAAGGTGCAGCTAAGCCAGCCCTAGCAGTTCTTCTTCTTCTTCATGTTCACCAGGTGTAAACTTCAGTTAAAAGTTCTGGCTGTTCTTCCCCTGTTGTAATTTAGTCCTGTTCCAGAACTTGGGTTTTGAGTGCCTATACATTTTACATACCTCATCCTGTAAAAACCATAGACACAAAAACCAACCAACCATGGGTAAGTCAAAAAGAGAAGCAATAGGACACACACTGAGAAAACAGGAGAATAGCATAACTAGAATGTCTTTGCATTGGAACCCACAGGGGCATAGGAATAGAGGAAGGCCAAAAAAGCACACGGAGAAGAGAGCTGGAGAATGAAGTTAGAAAGATGGGGAGGACATGGGAAGAGCTCCATGCATTGGCGAAGGATAGAACGACTTGGCGTGAGTTGGTTGAGGGCCTATGCTCCATTGGGGGATAGAAAGGCAGAAGAAGAAGAAGATACATTTTACAGATCTGGCTCTATCTGTATTCAGAGTGCTAGTCCCTTACCTCTAAGGAAACTCTAAATAGTATACTATTATTACATGCTTTGTTAAGAAGGCAGTGGGTCTACCCCCCCTCCCCATAATGGGACCCCAGAACCCACACGGGGAGCAGGGAGACTGAAAATCATAAGAATAAATACTGAGTGTTAATGCCAGGATTTGCCAAGACACGAGAAGTTTCTATCAATACCTGCCTTGACTCGTTCATCTTTGTGCTTCATCATCTTAGTGCTGAGCTGCCCGATCTTCCCAGCAATCCACCTGTTGATGGGGATCAGGAGGACGGCAAAGGCAACACCGGTTAAGAAGGCCAGCCCCAGTTGTTGGTACAGCAGAAACAGTGACACACCGACCTGGGAAGAAAGACTGAGTAAAGATCCAGTGGCAATCACACTGGCGTTCACATAAATGTCTGGACTTCCATTTTCAAAATGGCGGACAGCAGCTGTGTTTATTTTCGCTGGCTGTCAATTCTCTCGGATTGTTCTGTTTCATAATCATGGACTGCTATTTTATGCGCATTTCCAACGCAGGATATTATGTGTTTTTCGTGGGAACAGCGTGTATTGTGGTTGTGCTGTGTCGGGGCGGGATAATGACCGATAGTTTTGGCAGCCTCAACCATGCTGCCTTCGCAATGTTTTGATCGCGGCGGTCCACTCAGGAAGACAGAATCTTGTCAGCAGGGGACTGCAACTGTCTAGAGAGCAAACTCGATAAAAGCTGTCCCCAGAAACGGAATGTGTCAACCATATATTTGGTGGGGAGGAATCGACACCTTCGGTTAACTCAATGGCCATGGCCATGCCACATAAATGCCTGTCTGTTGGTTGGCACCTTTCTGTCTTTCCCAATTGTTTTTTTTTTTTTTTTTTTTTTTGTTTTGCTGGAAATGAAATTCCCTTTAATTTGTTTGTGCCTCCGGGATCCACAGGTCACCACATGGGAAAGGCTACCACAGGCACAAAATAAACTTTACACTGTGCAGGATTTTGGTATAAGCTAATTAAGATACAGCTTCATACAGCTTCATAATATGTAGTAAAGTAATACCCTTTTTCATGTCTTCAGGCATACTGGGCACAGAGGGCTAGACCTTTATTTTATAGAGCAATAGGCATTCTGCGGGTGTTGTGGTCGGTATCACCCTGGCTGCCTTTCAGGTCTTTATATAGCTTAAGGCCTCATCATATCTAGCGGCGTCCATGGATGCGTCAATTTTTATCATAGTATGGGGCGTCACAGGTAGATAAAGCTTCAAATGTGTACCAGTATGGCTGTCCTGGGGAAGTAAAGACGGCCGGCGTAATGCCGACCGCATTACCCACTTAGTGCCAACTGGTCTGTAAAAATATGGGGTGCTCTTCCCATATGCCCGATGCCCCTAAAGACGTGAAGAGGGATCTTCACTTTAACTTTTACTTATCATATCTAAATCTGGCTCTGCCTCTAAGGAATATCAAAAGTATTTAATTAATTTTTTTTTCATGAACAGATATCTGAGCATTCTAGGGAAACACACCTTTAAAATTACAACTACTCAATCAAACGGAACAATTACTGCACAAAATCAAATACCAACCTGAAATGGCAGGCTCCAAAATGCATGAAAACTTGGACAGAAATTCAGTATCCTGTCTGTGTCCGTACTCATGAAATTCACGATTTCCCCGGAGGTGAACCTTGATTGTGAAACACTGTTAACACTTAAAGACTTCTTGTAAATAGTTGTAATAACAGCACACCTTATTTTATATGCCACTACCTGGACGTTGTAGTCGAACTGAGTGGAAAATATGGCGGACAGCAGTGTGGATAAGAAAAGTCCTCCAGCGTACAAGTAACCTTCATATGGTTTAGACTGAGCAGATGCATTTTCAATAAAACTGACTAAATAGTTCAACAGAATTGGCCCAGCAAACCCACACGAGTCTGCAAGGAATTTTAAAATTCCCAGTAAGAAATATTCAAGCCCAAATGCACAAATTAACGCTCTGAATAAACCTATCCGGCTTACTGTGGAGCTATCAGTTGTTGGATCATCTGTTAAAGAATTTACTGATTCGGAATCAGATTCACAGTGATGCTCTTCATGTGCAGGATTAGAGGAACTATTTTGTAAATCACTGACAGAAGTTTCATGACCACATAAAGCTCTGGATGATGACACAACTTCTGTATGGGGTACGTCTGCACAGTTCCTCATGCTGGAAATAAAATCATCATTTTGCACTTGTGTCTGTTCTAAATTATGTTCCTTTTCTAAATCCTGTAATACTTCTTTGAACTCTGCACTCACTCGATGAGTGTTCAGTCTCTCAGGTAATAAGTATAAATCATTAACACGGGATATTTTCATAGCAGCTCCCCGAGACATCAAATTCTGTACCCAGTGGAATGTTAGCCAAGAAAGACAGCCCACGTTTTGTTCTGCAGCGACGGTTAGATGCTCATTGGTGACACTGACAGTATTATATGACCTAATTCTATCCCAAGTCAGCGGTTCTGTCTCTCCATCTGTTTCATTGACCTGAAAAGCCAAACTGGTACGATAAATCCTCCGCCTATTCGGTACAACACTAATCATATAAATCAAGCACAATCCGGCACTGATGTAAGTCGTGTATTCTTCAGCTTTACTCCTGGGAGCACCTGACGACATATGTCTCATGATAACAGTATGAACATGGATAACACAAGCTGCCACTACGATCAGAAAACACAGCAAGACACTTGCAGGGCCTCTCAAACTGTCACTATGAAGGTATCGTAAATTCCATACAAACAAGGAATGTAACAGCCATGAAAAACATGAGGTTCCTATCACCACACCTTCAGCTATGCTTGGTGGTCTATGCTCCGTTCCCACTGAGAAAATGACTTGAAACACTGGACACACTAATAAAAGTGCTACCGTTACTTGCCGAAGAATCAGAAACCATGTCCAGCTGACAAACAGTCTGTTCCCTCCTAGCGTTGTTTTGCGCCGGCCAAAATGGTATGCACTAACTATAGCCAGTAAAGTATGGGATGGTGCAAGTATGGCCACTTGCTCAAAACAGTGGCCAAAATCATTTTCATTCCAAGACTGGATATCCTCCCCATGTCCACAAAAGGCAGACCAGTTCCAAGCATTTGAGCCTCCGATAATTCGAAGTTGCTCTCTCTGAAGTTCCTCCGCAACCATCTGTTAAAATAAAGAGAGAGAACAATTTTATTATTTTGCAATATTCACAAAAAAAAGATGCAAAAATTTGCATCTTTTAAACTGATCTTTAATTCTGGCATTAAGTGGCAAGACAAGATCAGAGTCGCTGGGCTTACCGCTTAGAGAGAGAGTTCAAGCACCAACGAATTCCTTGTTACGCACGCCTGTTTTTTTTTTTTTATATAATTGTGAGCTCACATGTTCGATGCTAAAAGCTCATATACTGCTCGAGCAGCATGATGAAAGCATTCCCCAACGGAAGATACGTGTCCTTAGTCTTAGTCAAGGTTTCAACTTCGCTGCAATTAGGTATCCCCATACTTGCTCCGTTCCTGTCCCAGTAAAAATCAAATGAAATATTCTTCACTGTCCTATTTTGAAAAAAAAAAAAAAAACAGATGAACAAACAATTAGTCCCGGAACATTCCAGAAATATGCGCACGCAGTAAATACAAATGACAATTGCCAGAGACGCCAAAGTCAACAGTCGCAATCAGAAATCCAGTTTGTCGTTGATGGATACAGTCGGGCACGATAAGTTGGTTATTATAAACACTTATAATTATTACATAAGGTATTTCACCAGCTCGCACGCAAACCGGCTACTGACACAACAGCTGCACAAATGAAAGGCATTCCACGTGGAGAGAAAAAAAAAACACTGTTCACAGGGCTGCACCAAGCACTAAACTCAGGTAGCGAGACCGTAGAACACCGTCTATGTGTGGAAACTGCTTTAGCAAAGCGCTGTCGGAGGCAAAAAATAATTTCGAAGCTAAACATTCTGCAGTGCATAATCCTCCGTTTTAAACAGGAAGTCTCCACTGCTTTATCTTCCGTGAAACTGATAGTAACACCTCTGGCCACTTCTCCTTAATGTAGTATCTTGTGTTGCATTTTTAATTTTCACGATGTCTGTATAGCCGGACATATATCAATGAATGTCAAAGGTCGTGCTGTCTGCGAACTGCTTCTGATTGTTGGAACAAGCAACAGTAGACATCGTGTCAGAGTGTGGTAGTGCCACGTCTCTGAGACCAGCTAATCCCTGTTCTCTTAGTTTGGCTCTGAGCCAGTTAACGGGAAGTGATCCGATCCACTTCATCGTAGCCTGTTTTTAGTTCTAGCCAGACGTGTATTGACAGTACAATTCTCTATAGCAGGGTCGCTTTTTTGTGAGGTAAACTAGGCGTGACAGAACCATCCACCCTGACATGCGTGTACGCCTGTACACTTATCTGCACTACCCTACAACATCACAAGCAACACAGACACATTAATATTTGTACAAATACCAAATTTCCAACGAAAAGCAAAGATGTTATTATACGTGTCCTTCAACTGTACATAAACATGATGGATAACAGGATATTTTTTTTGAAAATTACTAGTATTACTACAACTGGAGGAGAAATAGGAGTTGAAATTGTTATCCGCCAATGTGCGTACGGGTCGCCCAGATGTCATCACTGAAAAATGAAAGGGGGTATGGGGGGTAGAGGGGGGGGGGGGGACAAAATGGCTAAAAAATATCTCTTTAACATAAAAGAAAATGTCCCGCACTGCGTACCCCTGACCTTGATTCCGACTTGTGGTAGTAGTGGCAACAGCAAAAATTGTCGTAAAAATCCACGTTCAGTAACAGCAGCCATTTTCTAAATTCTGGGCATCTGGTAAACAAGGGCGATGCATTTCGAATTATTTACACTTCGACCAACCGATACGCAGAAGTATCAGCGATCAGCCAGTTTAATCCAGAACTATGCCGACAGAAGGAAATGCGTGTCGCGATGAGATGCAGCGAAATATGCCAGGCAATAAATTGTGCACTCTATTGTTTGTGTCTTCTTGGTTCAAATATTACGAGCGTCAGCTGTCTGTATTGCTTATCTTAAAGTTTTAAGTCGAGAGGATCGACTTCACTGTACCGGATTTTTATCCCGTATGGCTCATTCTCTCTTTTCAGAAAGGCTAACCACCTGGAGCAAAAGCACGGACGCCGCTGCTCCGTCGATGATCATTGAGGGTGTTAGTAAAATTTCACGCGTGAACCGAGCGACGCTGCGGGGAAACGAACACATGACTTTCATAGGCAACAGGCTTGACCAGTTCGCCGCGGAGATCCTGTTTTAGTTTGGCAGAAAAATTGAGCGCCCTGAGACACTCTTTGCTAACAGCAGAGGGTACCTCAGAGGTGTCTGGGTACCTCAGAGATGCCCGGATACCTCAGAGGTGTCCGGGTACCTCAGAAATGTCCGGGTACCTCAGAGGTGTCCACTTTTCCCGGTGGATGCTCGGTCCCCAAAACTGCTTTAACCACACCGCAGTGTGTTACTATTCTCCACATTCGTCTCTAGACACGGCCGTGTTATTCTCTACCACATAAATATGCAGTTGAGATTTTTCCATTGCAGAGTCGTGTGGTGGTGGTAGTTGGGGAGGGAGGGGGACGGATAGGTAATAAAGTCTTGACAGAAACTAAACTCGCGAGGAGAACTGATTGTTCACATCAGACAGATACAATGTACATTCTTTGGTCTTGTCACGAAAAGGAGAAAGCTGGAGTACATCGTAACAATGGAAAGCTGGAAGGAAAGCGAGTCAGAGGGAGACCGACAACATGACAACACCTAGCATTGAGCATCATCTGTATCAGAGTTGACCGAAAGAACGTAAGACAGAAGATTGTCGACGGACATGACTACCAACGCCACCTGGCATAGATTTTAAGAAGAAGTGTCTTGGGACCTGGTGCAGCCGTTACGGGTGCCCTAATTCATTAGAGGCTGAAAGGGCTATCTGGGAGCTATACTGCTGATCTGTGGTCCAGAAACACATTTTGTTGTTATTGCAAATCTGAGGACGTACGTCTCCCAACATAAGGAGACAACATAACATAACCCTTGACCCATTAGGGTAGTGGGGGTGTATTGATGGAAGAACTAGCAAATAAAACCCACCATCTTTCTCTATCTTCTGCTAGATGAATAAGTGTATAATAACTTAGTCCTGTCCCTTTCTTGATGTTCTCATTCCAGGTTCTTCTTTGTCCTTCTCTTCTTCGAACACCACCTCTTCCACCCCCCCACCCCCACGTTCCTTGAAGTACAATCGAATCATGTCTCACCACGTGTCCAAACCAAGCTAGCTTGCATCGTTTCACCACAGCCAAGAGAGGCTCCTGATGTCTGGCAAATTTGTGTATTTAATCTCTGACATATTCATTAGTTTTGTGTTCTAAATAACTAATTCGTAAAATGAGTCTGTAGCGTTTACATTCGAAAGCCTGAATCCTCCTTTCCATTTCAACAGTAAGAGTCCAACTCTCACATCTGTATAAGAAAATAGACAACACCGGTGATTTGTAAATATTGACCTTGACTGCCATGCTGATTTTCCTCTTCCACATCGTTTTCAGCTGCGACAAGGCGGCTGTTGCCAATCGTCTTGCAGAGGGGACAAATCCATCGATTTTGACTATCCTTATTCGAAAGTTAGTTGCGTATCCTTTACAGGACACTGCAGAACCAACCCCTGCATTGGGGGGGGGGGGGGGGGGGAGGGGGGCTGTTGTAGTTTTTCTAAGCAAATTTACGTCCTAGTAGTTTGCCATTGCTTCTGGACGGTCGGCTTCTAGATACCACTGTCGAAACCAACGCAAGGCGCAAGGCCCGCAGCTGGGATTGAACCAGACACCCCGGCATTACGAAGCTCGTTCCCAACGCCTAAGCCACAGACGCCGACATTCTTATATTAGAAGCACGGCCATCTTTAGATATAGCTGGAGAAAGCCGTGATTAGAAGTAAGTTAACAGATCTAACCCTGTGGCTTAGTGGTTGGTGAATGCACATAACAATTTTAGAATCCTCGTGTACTAAAGTTAAGATTTCTGCCGTGACCACTACAGGATAGTCGGTAAGGAGCTGCTGGCCAAACGGTTAGAACCCTGAGTTGCCAAGTGGGAAAAACCTGGTTCGAATCCTGGGTAGGTCGGGGATTTTCGTCTGTCGGAGACAAAATTAAATCTTAAATTGCAAAGTCAGCGGTGACGGCACCAGCGACGCAGCCCTAAACTCTCAGGCTCAAAAAGCGCCCTGCCTACACCGCAGAAGTGTTAAATACCGGCATTAACTCATTCAGTCTGTGCATGTAACCACAGTCCTCATACAGGATACAATTTTTCGTTATTTTCAAGTCCCACTGTCGGCTCTGTGCCCAAGTCGATGCGAACGCTTCGTAATGCCGGGTTTGATCCCAGCCGCAGGCCATGCGCCTTGCGTTGGTTTCGACTGTGGTATCAAGAAAGCCGACCGTCCAGGAGCAATGGCAAACTACTAGACGTAAATTTGCCTAGAAAAACCACACAAAAGCCAGGGGCTGTTGGGGTTGGTTCTGCAACGTCCTGTAAAGGATACGCAACTAACCTTTTAAAAAAGAAAAAGTCCCCACCCCGGCTGTAGTCAGGGGCCCTGATATAACCTAAGGGCTGGAAAGAGTTTCTGGGACCTCTCCCTGAGTGATCCTCATCCGCATGGTGGTACTTTGTATCACCGGGTGTTTATCCTGGCGGTTGAATCTCACTTACTTACTTTCAGTCTCACACATTTCTAGGTCTCTCATTACCGCACCCTAGGGAGTTGCCATGGTCTAGTGGCTAGAACGTTTGCCTGCGGATCGGAAGGTCGGGGGTTCTGGTCCTGACTTTTTGTAAAAATAACCTTGGCTCCCAGGTAGACCTAGCCTTGAGTGGGTACCAGATGTAGTCCTGGGAAGTAAAGGCAACCGTCGCGGTGCTGACCGCATAACCCACCAAGTGCTGATTGGTTTAAAAAAATATAGGTCTAGCCCTATATGCCCAGGGTCCTTTACTTTACTCTTACTTTAACCACCCCTTTGGCCTGTGATGCTAAACCTCCCTCGGAGTGAACGAGTATAATGAGTTTTGGCAGTAGTATTTCCCGTGTAGGTAGCGGGGCCC